TCAAATGCTGGCCTTGCAAAATTTTACCCGGAGGACTATGATTTTGTTTTTGTTAGTACTTTAAGATGAACAGCAGGGTACATAGCTCCTGAACTGAATTCTAGGAATGTTGGAGCTGTTTCTAGTAAATCAGATGTTTATAGCTTTAGGATGTTGATGTTGGGAATGGCAGGAGTAAGAATGGATGTCAACGCAAAGGCAAGCAGCTCAGCTAGAGGGAACCTTCCGTTGTAGATTTACGACCATATAACTAAGGGAGATGACATGACTGAGACTGAGGCTGAAGAAAGTTATGTGTAGTAGGGTTATGGTGCATTCAAGGCAAGGCATGAGATCGTCCCTCGATGACTAAAGTTGTGGAGATGGTGGAAGGGAAGCATTGGCAACCTGAAAATGCCTCCTAATCCTTTCTTATCCTCTCCACAAGACATGCCTATAGAAGAGGATAATCCTTCTCAGTTGCTGATTTCTGAAACAATGGAGAGAAGCTAGCTAGCACAAATATAAATAAAAAGTAATGTTAAAAGTTGGATCATATACCAGGTGCAATGCCAGCCGTTAGTAATAGTGATGATGTTTTCAATAAATATTTGTGATACCTGACCCTCTTCATGTATATTATGAAAATTGTTGGGCCTAGATATGATTGTTTTAGCCCGATGGGCTAAGTGTCTGCATTGCTTGTTTCGGCTTCCTGCCCCTATTTCGAGTTCAACCAAAAGGGTAAAAAAGAGAAAGCTACAGACCCTTGGCTGTATTCACGGGAGCTTTTAAGGGTTACAAATTACAATGAAGGGATTCAATCCAATCCAATGATAACTCTGCATTGGATCGAACTGCTATTAAGAACCCCCTCATTCTAACCTCCTTTGTACTTTCACACCTTAATGCGATGAGATGAAAATGTTTACTTTTCTTGTTTTTTTGGCAAAAATGGGATGCGAATGTTTATATACTATAAATTATATCTGGGAACGAGATAAATTTACCGTAAATCATAATATATATTTGTATTATTTCTATACAACTCACGTTGTTGTACTGATCATCATGAGTCACTGGGGTTTGTTAATATTATATATTATATGAATACAGGATATGTATGAAGGTTGGGAACAATGGTTGATTCTTTGCCAATTATGTATAAGATACTTTTTTCTGTTTTTGGAAGAGACAAAAATTCGCTTCTGTCTATCAATTCTTGTAGCCCTAGATGGATTATCATTTCGTGAACAGCCTTACAACCCTTTTGCATAACAACTAGTATAATTTTTTGGCCAAAACATGAACTTCATTCCTTTAAGTACAGGTAATTAAAGATTGAAATCAGATGAGAAAAAGCACCAAATGCAGAAAAAAGAAAGCATGGAAAATCCATGCTGCCAAGCTTTCGCAAAAATCAGATTCTGACTTTGAATCAGCATCTAGGTAGCTAGAAGAGCCAAGACACACCAAAACCTAAAAAGGAAAAAGGAAATTAAAGAGGAAGGAAGGAAACTAAAGTCATTCTTTTCTTTCTTCCATTAATTCATGACAAAGCAAATAAATACATGATAGGTGTAAGTGATGCATGCCCAGCAGCATTACAGATAAACTAAAAACCAAACTAACCAAACTAGCTACCTCGTATGCATCCCTTACATCCCATGTTCCATAACATATTAAACATGCAAAAACAAAGGCAAAAACAAAAACGAAAGGACAACTAAGATCAAAGACCAAGGTTAAGTAACAAAAGAAAATTATTAAAAGACCTATGTTGTTGTTAAGGTAAATTCGGACCGCTATCCTCAATTCCCCGCAATGCAATAATACCGCTCTCCCGACTCTGCTCCTTGTGGTGTGGGCTAGAAATTCAGGAGAGCGCAATTGCAAAGCCTTGTTCGGTGTGTTGCTTTGCCATCACTTTTCACCCGTATTTACAACAGAGCCCTTGTACGCCGGGCTGCTGCGTCCGCCAAACACCACCAACACCACCCAAGTAGACAGAACTCCACCGGTGGCTGGCGGTCATGGTCGTCGATGTTGCTTAGAAAAATGATCAATGATAGAGCTATAATTGAGGTGAAAAAATGGTAAGTGCTGGGTAGGTAGCAAGAAAGGAGGACTAGAAAGAGTATGATGAGTATAGAGCTGAGGGGACATGATGGGTCATATATAAAGACGAGATTGTAGCTTTTGGTTGAATATGAGTGCCCCATTTTAATTTTTTTATTTTTTGATATATATAAATTTTGTAAAAGTGAAGTTGAAATTCTTGGTCCAAGCTGGTTAAGGGCATGTTTGTGGGGAATGCAAATAACTCCACTAACTCGGTTTCCAAGGCTCTTGGAATTTTCATATTATTCTCATATGGAGGAGAGAAGCGAAAAAGAAGAGAAGAGAAAAGAAAAGAAAAGTGGAATTGGATGGGGTTTATTTGTCTCTGTGTGTGTGTGTGAGTATGTGAACGTGGCTTTTTTACGGCATACGAAGTTGGTGGGTGGAGGGTGTTGCAATTTTCCCACTAAATAAGCTCCTCATCATCCTCAACCAGAGTCAAAGCTCAAGACAAAAGTTTTGAATGGGCAGCTTTTTAGATTTATTACCTTATAATTGTTTGTTTAGGGTTGGGAAGAAGTAGAGTGAGTGGGTCATTTGATAATTTCATTTACATGGAAGCCTGTGCATGCATGGATGATGGAACTTCGAAGCAGACAAATGGGCCGAATTTCAGCTAATGGATGATTGAGCAATAAAACATTGTTTTCTTTTAAAATCTATCACCACCATTCACCATTCACCACAAAAACATCAACTTAAATCTTTAATTATATATACATCGAGATTTATAATGATGGAAGAATATAATAAATCAGCAATGCCTTCAAACTTTTTGGTCATGCATTGCCATGTGCCACTGCCATGCTTCAAACTTTCAAGCCAAATCATTATATTGCAGAGGTTTGCAATCAGCTCCACCTTTTCAAACGAAAAAAGAGAAAAAAGGTTTAGTTTATTTGGGCTGCCTGGTGCCTGCCTTCAAAGTTCAAATTCAAACAATCCTCCGGAAGAAACTTGGGCTGCTTCGGGTAACAAGTTATCAAATATTTTATGATATTAAAAAATAAATAAAAATTATGATAGTTTGTCAAATGAGGTGGGGATGGCCAGAGCCAACCTTTGCGGTTTGAAAAAAAATACTTGCGCATGGTAGGGAGGGATGTTACAGAAGCACCACCAGTGAATCAGTGATGGAGACAGCGACTCCTACCAACCTGTGCAGGATTGGTTTAGTTCAGTATCATCATCATCATCATCCATTTATTTCCAAATATAATGAAATAAAAATAATGATAATAGAGTAGCAAAAGCGAAAGAAAGAGAATCTCACACCGCTGACTTATGCTTCGTCTTTATTATAGCTTTTGCATTTTACATGTCATGGAATGGACGTATCCATGGCAAAGTGATTTGTGTCATTATAGTTTGTTTGTTGTTGGTTTACTTAACCCCATAACCTACCTAAACCCTCTATCAAAACTGCTGTGATATTGCCTGAACAGCCTTATTGTGATCTTTGATCCAACGACTTGTTGTTTTTATCAGTCAGTACTCAGTATGATGATTGATGTGATGAGTGATGATTCTGTTCAAAGTTGACACTGGGATGGAGCCATGATAGAGAAATAATAAATGGGACCCATCATGCATTAGGTTAGGGAGGGCCCCAGCAGCTCCTAGAATCCGAGGACTAGCATTTTCCATGATCATCGTTTATTTCCTAATTAATTAAAGGAAACTCTTCTGAAGCAGCAAGCAAGCACAATATTTTACGTCTCCATTACGTCATTTTGACATCAACTTACTTAATAATGTTGAGAGCTTGAGAGTGAGTTTTCCGAGTCCGAACCCGCCAGCCAGCCAGCCAGAAGTAGTGAAGAAAACTACAATCATTGGATACTCGAGATAGATAGATCTCTGATAAAGCGCCATGTGTCCCTTGACTGTCCAGTGATTGGTGGACAGGAAGCGGCGCGTGAGGCCTCGATAATAGTCCATCTAAGCTAAGCTAAGCTCAGCTAGCAACAAAGCGTGGGTCCCATTCCCATTCCCATTCCCACACACAGAGACAGAGACACAGCGCCCCAACCCGGATCCAATTTGATTCAAAGGCGCCCCATTGGACCAAAAAGTAGCGTCCAACCGAGCCAACACGCACGCTTCCGCATTGGATCCCTCGTAGTAGGCTCATGGACCTATACAGTAAACAGTTACTTTTAACTTTTAATTTATTTTTAACTGTGTGCCGTTAATGGAGTACAACAGGATGAAGTGGAGTGAAGATGTAAATATGTTGCTTTTTGGAGATTCGGGATAAAGTCCGTCTCCCTTTCTCTTGCAAGTTGCATCATCGTATTGGGGTTCCTTGGTGGAAAGGAAAGATGACAACGACTGGGCCCTCAACTTGAGCAATTATAGGCCCACCTTTGATATTTCCGTTCAAGTCCGGTTTGCTTAGTGGGCTTTTTTAACTTCAATCCAAGAGAATAAGAATTCTAGAACGCATGAACACATGGAGTGTCCAGAGTTTAAGGCATATGACGAGGTGAGAGAGAGAAACAAAACTTTATATCATGTAATGTGATCTGCTTTTGTCGTGAATCGTGCTGGATGGATCAGGATCAGCTCAGCTCACTCTCGGATTTCAAAGGCTTTCGAATCCGCATTGCAAGGGGAGATATTGATTCCAAGTCCAACTCAGACAAACTATAAGACAAGTTTAGACACGTCTTGTCAGTGTTACACACTCCTAGTTTAGATCAAAACGTCTTTGTTTGTGTTCATTTCATTTAGCAGGACTCAAAGGAAATCACACTTCACCTAGTGATCAAAACGTTTCGAGGATTGACAAGAAAAGAGAAGCCCTTTCTCGTGTTAATTTAATTTTGCTTGTTTATTAATTCCAGCAAAGCTGTTGAACGCCTTTCTCGTGTTTAGCTTCGGACTCGCTACAAAAATAAGCATTCAAAACTTGTCTCATTCATTGATTTTTGGCTGCCGCGGAATACAAGTATTATTTAGTTACATAAAAATACAACATCCATTCATCTCAAGTTCAACAAAACCTAGCAATGACTAGGAACACAAATTCCACCGCCTTCAATCACTTGTTCTTCTTCACCAACACAACACTTTGAAAGACAATTAATTGCACCTGCAAATTATCATCAGTAAACAAAATCAAAGCACAGATCCAGTCAATATATAATAAGTCACTAGTTTTTTCTGTTTCTTACAAACAACACCACCAGAATGAAGGAAAAAGAACACTAGTACAGGAATGAATTCAAACCTCAACACCTTCTGTTTCAACCAAAAATTCTAACAAGAAGAGTAAAGGGAAAGGGAGAAACCTAAGGAAATTGCAGGAATGGGTGGAGTAGGAAAGAAATTTCTTCCCTTTGAAAGTTTAAACCAACCAAAGAGATCCATTCTTTTCCCACTCCCCCACTCCAACAGCTTCCTCAAGCCTTTCCTATCCCCACCCTTCTTTTCATCCTTCTTCTTCCATGGCGCTATGGCCTATCTCCCCTTTCAGGTTGGGTGGCTCTTTTGACCTGCTCAACCCTCACTATATATATATATATATAATATATTGGAGAGAGGTATGCCCTAGCTCCCCTTCCACGCGTCTTCCAAAAACAATCCACAGCAATTAAGAACCCTTATCAAACTTTTTAAATACAAAGCTAGTTGAATTTCCATTTTTAACCCTTTATCTCAACGGAGTTATGTCCAATTGAAAAGAGTCTTCATTTGCAGATCAATGGTCTCAAGTTTAAATTTTCATGACATCAATTGTGTATGTGTAAGAAATCTTCTCCCCTCTAATTTAGACTATCGCTTATACTATATATATAATTTAAAAAATGACTTCATATTAAGTCAGATCAAATCAACTATAATCCATACTCAGATTCATTTTTAATTGGATTACCAGATTCAAATTGTAATCGGATTATTTGATAGAGAAATCCAATCCATCTTCTATTAATTACAAAGTACTCTAATCAAAATCCGATTCATTTATAGGTTTTAAAACTTCTTTATTTAGTAGATGTTTGATATTTTGTATAAAAAAATATACATATCATTTTAACTTTTATTTTTCAATTTTTGGGTAATTTTTAAAATTTCAATTTGAGTAGTAATACTAATAGTTGATAAGTTTCGCATAAGAAAAAAGTTTATTTTCTTCTTTCCGATTGAAAAGAACAAACACATCAACCAAGGTGGTTGGTGTGAGTAGTTCGGCACTCTCATTCCTTAAGAGAGGTCAGGAGTTCGATCCCTGCTCTCGTACGGAGTCACCACTTTGGCCAACACTTTACCCCTTACGGGCCAACCCGGTGTGAGTGGGGATTAGTCTGGGTTGTGGTTAAGGCTTAAAGGTGCCACTCATAGTTGGGGCCTATCCAGGACCACCTCATGGTTCAGACAAAAAAAAAAAAAACAAACACATCATTTATTCAATGAGGCTATCGCTAGAATACGTTATCTCTTTCTCCATTTTTACCACCAATCAAAGAGAAAAGAGAGTGCTCTCTATTTTATTTTTGGGGAAGTGGATGATCAGATCGAATACGCATGTCTGCTCTGCCTGCTACATTTGCATTTGGGATTCCTTGGTGAAAATGAAAGATGACAACTATTGGGCTCTTAAGGCTCGTTTGGCACGCTGGACTGTCATGGACTAGACTAAGCACTAGGATTGTCTTGAATTGGCTTGGCTTGGCATAAGCTGGATAAGCCTAGTACTGCGTTTGGTGTACGATTGGATTAGGACTAAATTTTTTAAAAAAATTTAAAATTTAAAATTTAAAAATAAAGCAAATGAATTTTTTTATTTTTTTATTTTTACTTTTCTTCTCTCTCTTCCTGTGCTCTTTCTTCTTCATCTTCTGTCTCTGCGTCTTTTCTTTTTCATCTCTTCTTCTCCCTACTCTCTCCTTCTCTTATTCTCAATATTCTCTCTTCTTCTAATTTCTACCCCACCTAAAAACATCATCCAGTTCAGATACTTTGGCTTTGGTGTGGTAAGTAATTTGCAGAAACAAATTTGAGGGAGAGGCAGGAGCTCACACCTAAATCATGGCAAAAAATCCACAATCCACACCAAAATCATCATCCACAAACAAACTTGAGAGAGAGGCAGAAGCAAACTCAAATTGATGAAGACCCAAAGAGAAATCGTGGAACAGCTTCAATCGCCGTAGTGGTCTGTCGTCGTTGACACCGACTGCCGTCGCCGTTTGCCATCTCTGTTGTTGCCTGCCATCGCCATCTGCAACCCATAGTCGGTGGTTGTGATTGCTGTTTGGGTGGTCGGTGGTTGCCGCTGGCGCTTGGGTGGAGTTGGTTGCAGAGCTTTGGTCGGGACTAATAGTCCCTCATTTTCACATGGGTTTAGCTAAGAACACCTAAGAAGGTGTTTTTGGTGGGCCCGGGATTACTAATCCTATTTAATACTAGGACCAAGTGACAACAACACATGGGATTAACTTTTAGCCAAGCCAATCCAAGCCAAGGAGTTGTACCAAACAAGCCCTTATAGGCCTTCAACTTCAAGAAATACAATCCCACTTTTTCCAACAGAGACTAACAAGTCCACAACACAACTATATCTATATGTAACATTTCGAGGATTGACAAGAGAAGGAAAAGAGAACTTATTATCAAGGACTAAAATATCGATAATATCAACGAAATATTGAGGATATTATCGTTTTTCGGATCTATATTATTTTAGAACATATCCATACACATATTATATAAGTAACGATAATATCGGAAAAAATCAACGTTGATAATTTCTCTCACACTTCAGCAACATTTTGCCAAAATATCGCTATAATATCGATAATATCGAGATGATGAAGACAATGAAAATTTTGAAGAGTTATTTACACACCCCATGAGGTTTCTTGTGTTTTCACACAACCCCCTCATGTCTCAAAATTTACACGAACACCTCATAAGGTTTCAGTTTGTTTTCACAAAACCCTTCTCGATGATTGTTTGTCCAAAAATGGATGATTTCATTGAAAAAAACTTATGCAAATGACAAAATGAACCTCAATGAAGTATATGCAATCTAATCTCAAAGGCCAACTTTGTTATTTAGATTTTTTTTTTTTGGTATAAAATCATCAATCTTTGGGTGAAAAATCAATGAAAATGAGTTTTGTGAAAACAATTTAAAACCCCATGGGGTGGTCTTATAATTTCTAAAACCTCAAGGAGTTTTGTGAAAAAGCAGAAAAGCTCAAGGGGTGTAAGTGTAAATAACTCAAATTTGAACCTTATAAGAACTTTATGTGGCACTAAGTCACTTATGTATCTTCTAATGTATAAAGTGTAAAATAGTGTAGTAAATCATTATAAATAAATAATTATAGTGTGTTTAATCTTTTTTAATTAATCACTACATATTTTCTACACTCACAGTGTTTGTCAGCTCGCTATATAATCAACTTAAATAAGTTAAACTCATCATGCAATGCATTTCCTTCCAATTTTTTGTGATAAAGTAATGGATAATTGACTAAATGAACATCCTTCAAAGTTTCAAGAAAAATTTTCAAGTTTTTATAACAATTTCCGTAGTTTTTATTCAATTTTTATCGTTATTGATAATTTCATGATATTTCCATAGAAATTTCAATGTTTTCGAACCACTGATATTTCCGAAAAACTAGAACTTTGGCTCAAATGTTTATTTCATTCCATACATGTGATTCCAAACACAAACTTGAAAAAAAAAAAAAAAAAAAAAAAAAAAAAAACATATGCAAAAGATTTGCTAGCCAATTTGAACAGTATGTTAATTGCTTGTTTATTCCAGAAAAGCTATCCGTGTTGTTATTTCATAGTTCAACAACCCCTTTCTCTTGTTAGCTTTGGACTCGCTACTTGTGTTGATGCGCAAAAAATTGACGATCACTTTCGATCAGATATGTATAAACAACTTGTGTTGGACTAGGTAAAAAATAGGCATTCAAAACTTGTCTCATTGATTTTTGATTAAAATATTCACAATACAAACTCTGACTAGGAAGTGTTGCAAACAAGATCTATTGATCTCCTCAATAAACTACAACTCAGTTTGCGTTTGGTACAAACACAATACAAAGGGTGTTGATTGAATTTTAAGAAGACTTGGACACAAGTTCCAGCTTCAGTCTTCAACTTCAATTGCGGAGAACATAGGTGGTACAAACAGGAAAACATAGGGAAAAATAACACTAGGAAACCGCAGAAATGAACTAACAGAAAAATCTGTTGTTTTTATGGATGCGATGTGTTGGGTACTAAAGACAAGAAGAGGAAAGGGAAAGGGAATAAACCTAAGGAAATTGCGAGAGTTGTTGGAATAGGAAAGAAATTTGTCCCCTTTGAAAATTGAAATCAACTAAAGAGATCCATTCTTTTCCTCCTTTAATTAGATCTAGCGTTACATTATTAGTCCTTTCCGTTGCATCACTAGTCCTTTCCTTTCCGTCAATTCGATTTGTTTTTCGGTCAAAACTCACATATCAAAACACATGATGGATATTTTGTGTGTAAATAAGACTTTTACCTAGCCACCACCCCCTTCTACCCATACCCAACCGCACGCCATCCTCTTCCCCCAAATATGCCCATCCAAACCATGCTAGATGGGTCAAAGAATCCAGCACCTTCTGGTGATAAATTTCAAGTCTACTCTATTATGTCAACCACTTCCCCTCCAAACCATGATGGATTTTATCTGGACATAGTAAAATGCATAACATGATTTTCTTTGCCTCCAACCAATAAGGTGTAGGTCAACTTTGGGTGGCTCAAGAACGTTCCTTCCCCACACGCTCAAATGGGGAGACGTAGGTTTTTTTCAATGAGTTTATTTATCTAATAAATATTTTATATAAATTTCCTAATTTGCATTTAATTTTGACAGAAATTTTTAATTCAGTTGACGAAAAAATCAATAGTACAACACAAGATCTAAATGATAGATGGCAATAATAATTTTGCAACATGAAGAACGAAAAGTAAAGTCGAATCTTATTTGATGAACCACTGCTACAATTTTGCCTATAAAAATAATTAAAAATAAATTCCCTAGCTCCCCTTCCACGCGTCTTCCAAAACCAATCCACAGCAATTAAGAACCCTTACAAAAAAGTAAATTTGTTTCCAGACAAAGCTAGTATGAATTTCCTTTTTTAACCCTTTATACCAAGCCAAACTGGTGTGTACTATACCTTACCTACCCCTACCTAATTTTTAGAGCTTCTTTACTCAGAAGATATTTAATATTTGTAAATAAAAAATAATCATTTTAACTTTTATTTTTTATTGGACCAAATGTTAAACCAGTGAAAATTTTCTATTAGGCTATCTTTGGACTGCGTTATCCTTTCGGCGGCTGGATTGGAACCAGAAAACAAACAAAAAGAGTTTCGATCTCCTTCTCCATATTGACCATCACCACCAATGGGTTTTTGGTCGGTTCATTAATATGGTGAAGGGTGATGCAGAGTCGAGATCAGCCTTTGGATAAGAAATCGCCGCTAAAAGTAGGATAAGAAATCGCAAATTTTAAAATACTAACGAAAAGAAAACTGATGGAAGTGCTAAAAACACCCTACCCTAGTAAAGTATTCAGAAATTATTCTTCTGATTCTGAGCTGCAAAGACATTTCTCACTGATTGTTGTTAACAATATATCTCAGATTTACGTTTGAACCTATGCATTAAAAGCTACAATTTTCTGCGCTTTTGCCTCGCTCTCCATCACCATCGGCAGAGCTAAGCTCACTTGACTTGTATAATTCATAAAACATCGGCCTGGGTATCCATCGACGCTTCGGTATTTACTTGAAGGATCTGCAATGCAAATAAAAGTTCCAAAATTATAATTTGCAAAACAAAACCCACCCAAATTACAAAATACATCTTCAAGATAAGTTATTGCTAGCTATAATACCAGCCCATAAAACGAGCAAAAGGGCAAAGAAAATGGAGAACAACACTAATGAATCACCCAAGCCACCTAAAGATGAGAACGTGAACATCAGAACATAGTTTTAAAACACAGAAGGGAAGACAAATCAATATTTCAGTTGTAATAAGTCAATCTCACAAAGTATAATGACGCAACAAAATGGGAAAAGGTAGGGAAAGAGAGCAACTGTAGGAAATAATAGGAATGGGAGGTTTGGGAAGAAGTCCTTTTTTGTGTTCCTTGTGTAATATTCACAAACACTTCGGGTGCATGTTTTTCCCAATCCTCCCATTCCCCAAACTCCCTACTGCAACTTCCATTCCCCCTTCTTCCCTTCCTCTCTTTTAATTTCACTCTCTCTCTCTATCTCTGTATGATATTGCAAGCAAACAAGAAGAAAGTTGCTTGGTTTGTTGTTGGGTGTTTGAATCTGTTGTCTAGTGAAAAAACAAGTGAGAAAGGGAAAGGCAGTAGGCTTAGAAAATCTTTGGAATGGGCGGGGTTGGCAAAGAAAGATGGGTTTTTGAGTCTCTTCTTTTCCAACACTACCATTCCAAAAACTTCCTAAACGCTACTATGCCTTTCCCACCCCTGTTTCCAGTTTCATCTTCTGCTTCAAGCCTAAAATGGCTTTGGGTTTAATGGGGATGATGGGACGGTCAAAGCACCCTTCTTTGCCGTTTGATATTTTTCAAAAACTTATCCCAAGACGCGTAAACTTATCAAAAACGCGTTCTGCATCACTTGTAAGATATAAATAAGAGGAATGCTATTCACAATCGCTCAAAAGCGATTCTCACAGCACTTGCTAGACACGTGTACCCGTTCCCATCCTTTCTTTTTTTTAATTGTTTTTTCTCTTTCTTCTCTCGGTTGCCTCCCTCTCTCTCTTATTCTATTA